CTTCCTGTATTAAGCTTAGCTCCCATGATTTTGGGGTTTTTTTTGTTGCTTTTTCCAAAGTAACCTCTCCGTGTCTAGGCTGGAGAGGGCCAGAGGGCATGTCTTAGCAGGACAGGTTGCTGAGGTGCCCCAAAGGGCAGGGTGGTGGGATCAATGGTATATTCAGCACATCAAGTGACAGTCACAAAAGGATATCTGTGACTCGGCCCATCACCATGTCTTGCCCCAACAAGTGCACAGCCCCAGTGGGACCTCACAATGACTCTGGCTTTCTGAGAAGCTCTTAGGTGTGAATTCCAAGAGAATAGAAGCTGCTTTTGTAGTTAGCAAGCCATTCACAGTCTTTGTTTAATCCAGAGTTGATTGTGTCAAACTTAAAGATGAACTGTAGCTCAGCAGTTTCTCTTTGAAGTCCTGGTTTTCATTGTCCATGTTTCCAGACTTTCACTTGACAAAGGCCCTGATGATCCTCACACGAAGGTGTTTGCTTTTCACGCTGTACACAATTGGGTTCATCAGAGGTGGGGCCAAAAGGTTGATGTAGCCCAGGAGAATCTGAAGCAAGTGAGAAGAGCTGCTCCCAAATCTGTGTGTTACAGCCAGGCCGACATTTGGTAAGTAGAAGACCAGGACAGCGCAGAGATGGGAGACGCAGGTGTTCAGGGCCCTGAGGCTCTCTATGCGGGATGCAATGCTCAGCACTGTTTTCAGAATCATCACATAGGACAGGACGATGAACAGTGAGTCCAGTCCATACGTGAAGAGTGCGGTAAACATGCCATAGATGTAGTTGACTCTGATATCTGAACAAGCCAACTTCATGACATCCTGGTGCAGGCAGTAAGAGTGGGAGAGGACATTGGCTCGACAATATCGGTACCGTTTCAGGAGAAGCGGGAATGGTAATACTACAGCCACTCCTCTTAGCACAAAGACCAGCCCCAACTTAGTTATTCTCACTGGTGTTAAGATGGAGGTATATCTCAGTGGGTTACAGATTGCAATGAAACGGTCAAAGGCCATCAAGAGGAGCACGGAGGATTCAATTATTGCAAGAGAGTGGATAAAGAACAGCTGGGCAAAGCAGGCATTGAGGTTGATCTCCCTAAAGTTAAACAAGAATATGCTCAATATTGTCGGTAAGGTGGCTATTAATAAGACAAAGTCTGTGACAGCCAACATGGAAAGGAAAATGTACATGGGCTCATGGAGGCTTGGGTCTGTTTTTACAATGAAGAGAATGACTGAATTGCCTACTATTGAAATTACATAGATTAAGCAGAAGGGGATGGAGATCCAGAGATGGATGTCTTCGTGGCCAGGTATTCCGGTGAGAATGAGCACGGCAGATTGGAATTCAGTGTCATTGGCAGCTGACATATTATACTGGGCAGGTCTGAGGAGTTTTTAATTTTCCTACCTGAAAGGAAACAGAACAGAAGAGTGGATGATATATAACAAAAAATCTTTCTCCTCCTAGTGAAAGTCTAGAGTCCCACAGGAGATCGAGTTCAAGGAAGCTATACCAACATAAGAACATAAGAACGGCCGTACTGGGTCCTACCAATGGTCCTTCTAGCCCAGTATCCTGTCTGCCGACGGTGGCCAGCACCAGGTGCCCCAGAGAGGGTGGACCGAAGACACAATCAAGCAGTGTGTCTTCTGCCATCTCTCCCTCCAGCCTCTGACAAACAGAGGCCAAGGACACCATTTTATCCCTTGGCTAATAGCCTTTTATGGACCTAACCTCCATGAAATTATCTAGCTTCTCTTTAAACTCTATTATAGTCCTAGCCTTCACAGCCTCCTCTGGCAAGGAGTTCCACAGGTTGACTACACGCTGTGTGAAGAAGAACTTCCTTTTATTAGTTTTAAACCTGCTACCCATTAATTTCATTTGGTGACCTCTAGTTCTTCTATTATGGGAACTAATAAATAACTTTTCTTTATCCGCCCTCTCCACACCACTCATGATTTTATAGACCTCTATCATATCCCCCCTCAGTCTCCTCTTCTCTAAACTGAAAAGTCCCAGTCGTTTTAACCTCTCCTCATATGGGACCCGTTCCAAACCCCCAATCATTTTAGTTGTCCTTTTCTGAACTCTTTCTAAGGCCAAAATATCTTTTTGGAGGTGAAGACATTAGCTTGGATTTGCATCGCTCAGAGCACAATAGGCATTGTCAGACTTGACCAGACCTGCAGTGCATCAAGCCCAGTCTCCCCTGGCCAGTGCTAGATGTTTCAGTCATGAGATAATCTGCTCCCATGGAAAATTTCCCTTTGCCACCCACTTGCTTCTGCCCTGTGTTTCCAGTTGTGGCCTTTCTACAGACAGTCTTTCTGGACCTCCAGTTCTGAGTGTGGTACGTTGTGTCGTGACGTGTCTACATAGAAGACGTGGGGAAAACAGTCACTGGAGTTCCTTGTCCTGCATTAAAGCTATTTATTAGCATGTTTGATGTTTTTATTCATTGCCCTTCCATGTTCAATTTATGCCACTGTCTTTTTGCAGGCCATAGGATACTCTTAGGGCCTGGTTCTTAATTCAGGAACATTGACTTAACGGCCTCACTCCAGATGTAAACATGCAAATTCAAAGAGAACCAGGCTCTATTCATTTTCCCTTACCGAATGCACACAATGACACACTCTGACGCCCAAGAATC